CTGGGTCCATGAGGGGGATGTGGCTTTCCCAGGGTGCCCCAGAACCCCATCTTGGAACTGGACTTTTCATAGGAGGGAGGAGGGGGGTCTCCACCCACAAGAGAGAGTCTATTTAAACCCGTGGGAGACCCCTCCATTTTGTCTTCAGCTGGCTAAGGAAGGAGCCTCTCCACCCCTCTCCCCACAGGATACTTGAAGGGAACTGGAACAAAGGACAGTAACTACAGGGGGTGTGAGTGATTGCTGGACCCAGGCTAAAAGGAGATTAGCCTGTAAAAGGGGAGCATTCTGGAACTAGTGAGGAAGTTATCTGTATTTAGTTTGATTAGACATAGATTTGCACATTTTATTTTATTTTACTTGGTGACTTACTCTGTTCTGTCTGTTCCTACTTGGAACCACTTAAATCCTACTGTCTGTATTTAATAAAATCACTTTTTATTTAGTAATTCACTCAGAGTATGTATTAATACCTGGGGGAGCAAACAACTGTGCATATCTCTCTATCAGTGTTATAGAGGACGAACAATTTATGAGTTTGCCCTGCATAAGCTTTATACAGGATAAAACGGATTTATCTGGGTTTAGACCCCGTTGGGAGTTGGGCATCTGAGTGCTAAAGACAAGCACACTTCTGTGAGCTGTTTTCAGGTAAACCTGCAGCTTTGGGACAAGTGATTCAGACCCTGGGTCTGTGTTGGAGAAGACGGGAGTGTCTGGCTCAGCAAGACAGGGTGCTGGAATCCTGCGCTGGCAGGGAAAACAGGAGCAGGGGTAGTCTTTGCACATCAGGTGGCAGATCCCAAGGGGGTTTCTGTGATCCAACCCATCACACCAACTAATTCCCAGTGTCAGGGATTCCTGTGGTTAACCCTGCTAATTCCCAGTGGCAGGGAGTCCCACTGGTTAACACTGTTAATGCCCACAGGACCCTCTGTTGCCTTTTACTGTTAATGCCCAGTGGCAGGGAGTCCTGTGGGTTAACCCCGCTCATTCCCAGTGGCAGGGAGTCTCTCTGGTTAACACTGGTAAGGCCCAGAGGCAGGGAGTCCGTGGGTTAACACTGCTACTCCCCAGTACCATAACAAAATGCTT